ATCCGATATGAAATCTATACTATAATAACTTCGTGACTTAGATACCTATATACTGTTGATATTTATGATATCTCTAAGAATTATACAAATAACATTTACATGTTTCTGTCTTAAACTAATGTAGGTTGAGAATAATGGTGGCTTCAAAGTCTCGGTCTGTCCCAACGTGGACTACGCATTCATAGTAGCACTACTTATGATTGTTAAGGATATGAAATGCTCTAATGGGTCCACAGATAGTACACAAGACACTAGTACTGCCATGAAATTGATTAAAGCATCGTTGATCCTCGGAAACCAATAAATAAATGTATTGTATGTCTGCTCTATTATGTTGTCTGTGACAATTTCTATTATCTTTCATTATATCAAATATAGCAATGTTATTGAGACCTTATAATAGATCCGAAATGTGGGGGACAAGGTTGTTTTTTTAACATATATATCTTGTAATAACGAAACCAACGACACAATTTTGTAGGTAAGAAAAAAGAAAATTACTCACGGGTAGAAAACTTATCATAAAGTTAGTCATATCAACAAATAAAATGTTTATATCTGAACAACTTTACTCACGAATTATTCTTTAAATAACTTAGTTATAGGCAAGTTATTCTTTTATAACATGATCACGAACTTATTTATGCATAATTTATTTAAATTGGTTGATAACTTATTAATGGATAAATGTCTCACTAGTAAAAAAAGTGGCTTTTGACGCGTCATATACGCTTCGGTTACGCAAAACCCGAAGCGTATAAAGCTATATACCTCGGTTACACCTTGTCCTGAGACGGAATAGTGATATTGCCTCGGTTAGTAGAAGACCCGAGACCTATAACTCTACACATAGCACTGCAAATTAGACTTTTCTGTCTGACAACTTTTTGAAAAGCGTTATTGCCTCGGTTTGCTAGGCAACCGATGCCTATACACCTGCGCTCAAGGAACCGAGGTCGTTGAGTGGCACTTTATACCTCGGGTTCTGCTTTTAACCGGTGCCATATGGTTGTATTACCTCGGGTTTCGTTAGTAACCGAGGTAGTAGCTCCATTCATCTTCTGAAAATCCTACACAGGTTTCATTTCCGCCCAACAACTTCTTCCTCTCGTGCTCTCTCATTCCTCTGTGTAGCTTCTTCTTCCTCGTGCTCTCCCATTCTTCATTTGCGTCCACGACTGCCACTCCTTGGCTCGCCGCGCTGCCCCCTGTGCTGCCAGTGGTCTCGCCTGCGTCCTTGTTGCCCATGGTTCCACCACCACCGCACTTGTGTCACCCTTCCCCTCCTCCTCCACCACCACCACGACCACAACCACCTTCTTTCTCCTCCACCACCTCACCCCAGTACATCTAAAAATCGCATATCTCTCACCGCTTCTCGTTTGCCACGCTCGCTTCGTCTCGTCCGAAACTTCGAACACCCAACTCTCCACTATCATCCACCTCTGACGCGAATCTCGAGGCCAAGATGAGCCGGAACGAGCTGAATCGAGAAGCCAAGCGCGCTGTCAAGTGGGGGATGGACTTGGCTTCCTTCTCTGCTCCACAAATCAAACGCATCCTTTGGTTTTCGATCACTCTTTTCATTTCCCGTTATACCCTCTACCTTTTCCTCAATGCCCGCTTCGCAAAGTTCCCACCTTTGCCCAAAACCTGTGTGCTTTATGTTGGGTTGATGCAAGGTCGCTTCCTTGGACCAAATTCATCAAGCAATTCAAGAAAAGCCTTTTGTACATCAAATTCACTAGTGTCAAGGCTAGAGCAACTTACTTGGCTTGTAGTGTCATCAATTTTAACCGTCAAACACAAGTTGACTTCTTCAACAGAATCACTTGAACTAGAGGTGGTTGATGCATTATCCTCCCAAGCAATGTGAACCTTCTTCTTCTTGTGAATTTTCTTTTCTTTTCTTTCTTTATTTCTTTTGTTGCTTGAACAATAAGCTTTCACATGGCCTCTTTCACCACATCCATAACATTTGAAGCTTGAAGAGGAACCTTGATAGTCCTTCTTTTCCTTCAAGATTTTGCTTTCAGATGATTTATCGTTGGCCATCAAGCATAGATTTTCTTGCTCATTAGAATAACTTGAGCTTGAGGAGTTTGATGTAGAGCATGAGTTCGAACAAGTCAACTTAGCCACATTCGATACTTCATCATGAGTGACTCTTAAAAATTTCCACATTTCCTGAGCAGTTTTGTAAACAAATACTTTGAAAAAATCATCAATGGTTAGTGCAGATAAAATTATATTCCGAGCCTTAATGTCAAATTGGGCTCTTCTATTTTCCTCAACAGTCAAGTCAAAATATGATTTTTCTACTTTCACACCATCAACTATATTTTTAGGAATATATAGACCATTTTGCACGGCTTCCCAGATGCCTCTGTCAATTGACTCTAAAAATATTTGCATTCTTATTTTCCAAAACGCATAATTTTCCCCCGTAAATAAAGGAGGTCTATCAAAAGAAGCACCCTCAGCATAAACTTGGTTATGACCGCCCATTTTCGAAAAATTTGAAAAACTATCAAAGCAAGCTCTGATACCAATTGTTGGAACAATCGGTACCGTTATAGAGTCGCACAGCGAAATAAATACTCGGAAAGCGTGTTACGGTCACAAATCAAGTAATGATGGTCCGTTTTAGAAAATCACTTTTCTTAGAGAAAATTTAACAAACAATTGATGTGCATAAAACAGTAACGAGTGTAAGGAATAGAAAAGTTGACACATTGGATTTTTATCCTGGTTCGAATCAAAATATTCTACGTCCAGTCGTTAATCACTATGAATAGTGATTAACCTTTTTTCACTAAAATATGGTTTGCAGATTACAATCAGATAATCAAAATAAGCAAAGAATAGAAAACACCTTCCTTCGACAAACGAACGGAAGAACCTACTCAGCCAACTTGAAGAGAACCGCTCCGACCTTTGACACACAAAACGCGAGCTTCTCTTATTGTTGAGACCTCGGCAAGTGTACTGGATCGTTCAAGTAATAAACCGGTAAGTCCGGAAATCGTTTTCCCAAGAGATTTGTTTTGATTCACAGATTGATTAAAGTTTACTAATTTAGCGAATAATAAATGTAATTTTGTAACAAACTTAAGATTTGCATACAGATGAAATTAAAGTGGTAAAAACAGTCGAATTAAAGTTCACTAGGGTTGAAATTCAAGTTCTTCACTCAGGTAATTTTCTACTAACACAATTCCTCAGAATTTAGCATCGACATCCTAGGCGCATGCAGCCACTGATNATCAATCACTTTTGCTTCTTTTGATCCAATTGATCAATACATGCATTCATATTTAATTTTCAGTATTTGCATTTAAACCTACAAGAATTTGTTCACAAGTTTAATTTAAATAAACGTATCAAGTAATAATCAACAAATCATTAATCAACAGTATCAAGTAATAATCAACAAATCACACAAGGAAAACTCAACACCAAAATAACTCTTCCAATGCACACATGACAAAAGAAATTATAATATATTAGTAACATTTATTTATTTTCAATGATATAAATTATCTCTATTACAAACTTTTTCACTTTCTTTTTTTACTCAAATTCATTCCCTTTCTTCCATATTTACTCTCTTTCTCTTTCTCTTTCTTTTTCTTTCACTTTTCACCTCCAATTCCATCCAGACAAATTATTAATGTCTTATCTATAACCTCCCAATTAGTATCGTGGAGAGACTGAAAGTAGAAATAGTTGAAACAAGTTAATAACCTCTTAAGGTCAAGTCTTCTCCGCGTTCTGTTTTTTCCACTAAGTTCCGAAACTTCATTGTAGTCCCTACAAGTAAGCATTTTAAACTAATTTAAAGTATAGAGATTAAATTGTTTGAAGTTGCCTTAATTATATATGTATTTATATTTATTGATGTGCTTGTTTCCTTTTGTGTAATAGTTTTTCTTTAATTTAATTCCATACCGTTACATTCGTAGAGTAATTATTGCTGATTTGGTAAAATGCACATATCAAATCTAACTTTAATTTCGAAGGAAATTTCAATTTAAAACTTTTGTTTTGTTACCAGCATACTTAACTGTGATAGTGGTTGATTGATGTGCCTTATTTGTGACCACATTTTTATTTAATAATGCTGCAAAATCTTGGATAAGTTGTGTGTGTATGTATCTGACAGGTGTATTTGATAGATACCATACACTTGCAATTGGTATTAGTAACCGTTGCTCTATAAATTGGCATATACAACACATAAATAAAGACACTTTTGTCCCATCAGATACCTTCCTCTCTCCAATGGCAGATCAAGTCTCAGTTATCAACCCTTTCTACTATTCTCCTCACTCTATAACTCTACAGATTAATACTGAGACAGGAATCACTTACAATGAAAACGGTGATCGTCTCTTTAATATGGAGAATGCTTTTTGCACACTTCATAACCGTCGTGTCTTATTTGATGATAAACAAAAACCCATAGTCACTTTATACAGAAAGGTTTGCTTTCTCATGCATCTATCTATACTCATACTCAACTTAATTACTTTTAGGTAGTTCATATTCGCCCACTACACAGATAATCTATACTTTAATTTTTCATTTTAGCCACTAAACTAAACTAGGTGTTATAGTTATGATGGTCTATTTTGGTAAAACATTAAGTGTTTTGTATTTTTTTCTCAGTCTTAATCCAATCTATACTTAATTACCCTTTTAGAGTTACAATTTTTTTTTTCTAAAATTAATATATATGTCTCTACTCTTCTATCTCGTATTATTGTTTATTTTCTTAATTAATAATTATTTGACCTTACTTATAATAGAATTGGTTATATTATTAAGTAGATTTATTCCAGATTGTATATTTATTATGATTATTGTAATAAAATTTTCGAATATTTGCATGAGATGAATATATCTGATTTCTTTAATATTCATGTCTTATTATTTTTAATTAATCCTGTGTGAGAAAATTTGCATAAGGTGGGTCGGTATTATGTGCATCGCTACACTATCCATGTTATTCTTATTCTTATTTAATTTCCATTATGCAGGCCGTGACGATTCATGAGCGATGCAAAGTTTTCAAGGGTGAAAGCACCGATTCATCTAAATTGCTGTTTTCTGTGAGAAAAACCAATAAATCGATTCCACCTGGGATTGCTAAATTGAATGTGTTCCTCGCAAACAATCAAGACAAAAAAGAAAGCGACTTTAGAGTCATCATTTATGGAAGTAAAAATTCTTGCACAGTTTATGCCGGTGAATCTCCTACCATTGTAGCCAAAGTATGGGTTACTAATTTAGTATATCCTTTTACATGTATTAGTAGTTCTTTGTTTTTTTTTTGAGAAGTAAACTTTAAATATGTTATTAATAAAATTAATCTTAACTCAATCTCTTTAGACAAGATTGTTAAAATGATATTTGTTCTTATTTGTATAAATTAATTTTATTTTTATATTAAAGTAAATATAAGTCTAATTAAACTTAACATACTTATATATACATACTTATAGTATATTTTGTTTATATAATCCGATATGAAATCTATACTATAATAACTTCGAGACTTAGATACCTATATACTGTTGATATTTATGATATCTCTAAGAATTATACAAATAACATTTACATGTTTCTGTCTTAAACTAATGTAGGTTGAGAATAATGGTGGCTTCAAAGTCTCGGTCTGTACCAACGTGGACTACGCATTCATAGTAGCACTACTTATGATTGTTAAGGATATGAAATGCTCTAATGGGTCCACAGATAGTACACAAAACACTAGTACTGCCATGAAATTGATTTCAGCATCCTTGTCGCTCGGAAGCCAGTAAATGAATGTATTGTATGTCTGCTCTATTATGTTGTATATGACAATTTCTATTATCTTTTATTATATCAAATATAGCAAAGTTATAGTTCAGACGTTATAATAGATCCGAAATGTGGGGACAAGGTTTGTTTTTTTACCATATATATCTTGTAATAACAAGACCAACGACACAATTTTGTAGGTAAAAAAAAAAAGAAGAAAATTACTCATGGGTAACATAAAGTTTGTCATATCAACAATTACTAATAAATGTTTATATCTGAATAACTTTACTCACGAATTATTCTTTAAATAACTTAGTTATAGACAAGTTACCTATGAATAACTTATTCATGGATTAATATTTTATAGCATGATTACGAACTTATTCATGGATAATTTATTTAAATTGGTCGATAACTTATTAATGTATAACTATCTACTGAATTTATCTTGGTTAAATTATGCATGTACTTTTTTACGAATAAATTCGTACGAAACAATAAAAATACTATTTTGTCTTTCATGTCATGCCTATATACTTGTAATTACAAATGTGTGAAAGAAATTTTATCTCAATAGTTAAATACCGTAATTCACATATGGAACTATTTAGTACTTTTCGACTGATTTCCATCCAAATCCAAATATTTTTTATCCGGAATTTTTTCTATATTTATAATAAAAGTATTTTCGGTTACATAACTCTGGATAAAAATATTATTTATTTTATAAAAAAGTCTTTCAATACGTATTGTGATGAGAAAATATCAATGTGTTTTTAAAATAGGAATCTATATTGATAAATATATGAATTTTTTTATTTACATAATTCATAAAATTATAGGATAAAAGATGTATTTACATTGTTTTATATATTTTTTGGATGTGACTCTTTATTGTTCTTTGTAAAAAATTAATTATGAATCTTATTTGGTTAAATTTTTATTTTGAGCTATACCACATTTTGAGTTATACAATATTTACTATTCTACCTCAGTTCAAAAAATTCAAAGTAATAAACCAAAAGAAAAATAAAAATTGAGTCTATTGTCTCGGTTATGGTTTCAACCGAGACCCTTAAAATTAATTAATTAATTAAATGGTCTATGGCCTTGGTTGGATCTAGAACCAAGACAATAGACTATTTTTTACCTCGGTTTTTACTAGGACTATTCTCTAGCGTATGTTTTTTGTTTTAAATATTGATTTTGTAAACATGCCATATCTCAAACTATATCACATAAACCCAAAAACACAAACAAACCTACACATAAAAACAAGTATCCACAACCTAGAAATACCACTACATATAACTATTTAATGTGATTTTTGGTTTTGATAGCTATGGTTATTATTTTTTAACGAAATTTTTTTTATCACTCTTTTAAACTCCTATACCAGAAAAAAAATCCTAACAGCCCTTATTTTGGGTGAATATAAAGTTTAAAGATTTTTTGGATTGCAAATCTTAAAATGACCCTAACTTTCGTTCTTATTATCAGTTTTTGCATTATTTTATATGGATTTGGGTAGAAAAAATGTTTAATATTGTTGTAGCTCGCGTAGTCAGCTAATCCTTCTAGATTTTCCAGAAAACGCTATTTTTTATTTTTTGGATTTTTATTTTGTTTTTTTTTTCAAACTTTGCAAAAATATTTAAAATAGTTAGACTTTGAATTTGGAGCTGAAATTTTTTGAGGGTATGATTTTTTGGTTATTCCAACAAATTTTCAGGTCATTTGAAGTTTGTTTGAGCATACTCTCAATTTTACTTATACCTATGTTTTGATATGTATATGGTGTATGAAGAACAAACAACCAAACGAAAATATGAAAAAAACTAAAACCAAACTAACCTTCAAGGTGAGCTTGGTGCTTAAATGAAATGAAATGAACATAAAAAAACACCTATCCAAAGAGCACATGTGCACAAAACGAAAGGAAATCATACCTAAATACTTAATTAACATAGAACGAAAGAAAAGTGGAAGAAATATTGAAGATGATGGTCGCGAAAATCGAAGATGAGAGAACGACGCATTAGAGAAAATGACTTATGTTTGAAATGTATAAGAAGCTTTGCTCACGAAATTTAAAGCTAGAAACATGTTATTACTTCGGTTCTGTTAAGAATAGTTGCCTAAAGCCTTTAGAAAAAATATATTTTTAGTTATTTTATGCCTCCGTTCGCGGTATAACCGAAATATAAGTACTTCATGAACTTTAAAGCTTCGGTTCTTTGTGAACTAAGACATATGTTTGCAATAATTACAAAAATTTTACCACGCCATTTTATGCTTCAGTTGCAACGAAATCGATGTTAAATACGTCAGTTAATATCCATAATTTTTACTTGTGTAAAGGGAGTCATACTTTGATTTGTTTTATAAGTTTTTTCTATAATAATCAATTTTAGACACAAACAATAACTGATTATTATATTAATTAAATTAAAAATTATTTGTATTTAAAATATTTTTATTGTTGATAAAAATTTGTGAGTTAGGATATAAATTCGTTTATACAGTTAGTTACTAAAGTTTTTAATTTAAAAGTAAATACTAATTTAAAATCAATAATAATAAATTACTAATACTTTGATAACTGATAAGACTAATTTAGACTCTAATTTATAAATCAATTATAACTTTCTATTAATAATAAAAATTATTTTAGATACAAATAAATTTTATTTTATAAAATGATTTCTAATTTAGTCAATATGTAATGATTAATTATTTTTCTTTAAATTTAATGAATTAAAAAAAATCATCATTAAAGTTCAAACATCCATGTGCAATTCAATAACATTTAACATGAAATTTTATTTTAACTCAAAACAATTTTTATATTATACAAAAGATGATAGCTCTAGAAATTTTGGGTGTGTCAAATACAAAAACAATGAGTCGACAACTCCACGAATTAATATTGAGGATTACTCTCTACACAACCCAATCACCATATTTTTTTTTTGAAAATTTTAAAACTATCCTTTATATTTTAAAATATCTTACACCTTCACATTTTTTCTTCAACGAATATCGACATTTGTTGAAAAAAAAATACTTCAACAGATATGTCACATTCGTTAACGGACGTGACTATGTTCAAGTTTTTTTTTTAGTTTTTCGTTTATTAAATTAATATTTTGTATATAATTAGTTAAACAGATGTGTCACATCCGTGTCCACATCCATTAAGGATTTTTTTCAGTTTTTAATTTATGAATTTATTATATTTAAAATTAATATATAAATATTATTTAATTTTTTTTTAAATTTATTACATAATTATATATAAATTAATTTTATTTTATTTAATAAAATAATTATTATTAATAATTTAATTTATATATTATTATTAAATTAATTATTATAATATTTTCATATTATTAATTAAACGCCTGTAATGTTTTTTTTAGTTTATTAATTTATTATATTTTAAATTAATAATAAATATTATTTTATTTTATTTTAAATTTATTACATAATTATATATAAATTATCTTTATTTTATTTAATAAGATAATTATTATTAATTTAATTTATATATTATTATTTAAATAATTATTATAATATTTTCATATTATTAGTTAAACGGATGTGTCCATAAGTTTTTTTTAAAATTTATTAATTTATTATATTTTAAATTAATATATAAATATTATTTAATTTTATTTTAAATTTATTACATAATTATATATAAATTAATTTTATTTTATTTAATAAAATAATTATTATTAATAATTTAATTTATATATTATTATTAAATTAATTATTATAATATTTTCATATTATTAATTAAACGCCTGTAATGTTTTTTTTAGTTTATTAATTTATTATATTTTAAATTAATATATAAATATTATTTAATTTTATTTTAAATTTATTACATAATTATATATAAATTAATTTTATTTTATTTAATAAGATAATTATTATTAATTTAATTTATATATTATTATTTAATTAATTATTATAATATTTTTTATATAATTAGTTAAATGGATGTGGACACATCCGTTAAGTTTTTTATTTTATTCTTTAAGTTTTACTTTACGGATGTGGTGACATCTGTTGTTGGATATCAAAGGTGAAACGGATGTTGACATCTGTTGAAGGTGAAACGGATGTCGACATCCGTTTTATTGGAAGGAAAAATTGGATATGGAATGATGCAGGAAGCATTTGGTGGTGGTGGATGGAGCAACACTTATTAATATATAAGGAAATTATGTCAAGTTGTATTCAAATTTGAAAAAAAAAAAACTCATTCTAAGTGTAAACCTTTGGAATTTGGGATTAATTTTTGGGATCATGTTTAAAATTTTCAATTGGTTTCCTAATAAAATTTATAAACTTTTGTGACTTATTGAGTTTTAAAATTTTAAAAAATTTCAATTAAGTTTTTATAGTTAGATGTTTTTGTTAATTAAGTGATGTAACGATTAATTGGACGATGACCATTATCTTATCATGTTATCTTGTTTAGTTTCCACAATATATAATTGTACAATTTTATACTTTTTTAAAATTTTATAATTATATACGTTATAATTTAATAATTTTTAAAATTATGTTTCTAGTTATGTTTCCATCCAAGTTATTTAATTGCGAGAAAAATGAATTAAATATTTAAAAGATTCAAAGATCTAATAAGCTACAATTTTATAACAGTAGACTACAACTTTTTATTGAAAGAATTGTAAACTAGTAAAAAAATCACTTTTACAGTGATTTATTTTACCAATTTTAAGTTATCAAGTATAAAAAAGTAAGTAGTGAAAAATTTATAAATAATATGAAGCTTTTTATACTAGTTAGTTTAAATTGGTATAGAAAATAAAACATGAGAAAACAATAATAAATTACAAATTTTTTTAATACCAATTAAACCTAGAACTTTAAAATGCATATCTTATATTTGCACTCATACTTTCTCTTCCCTGTACATCTCGCGCCCACATCTCTAGCCTTTGTCTCCTTCCACTGTGCTCGCTTCAGCTCCACCTTTTGTCATGG